GTGTTTACTTCCTATCTGTCTTCTTCTTCTACTGTTCCCATTAGCGTTTACTTCCTGTTTGTCTTCTTCTGCTGTTCCTGTTAGTGTTTACTTCCTGTCTGTCTTCTTCTGCTGGGTTATGGCTAGAAAGGAGCCGTCTTGTGTAAAACTCGTGAGAGTTTGCAAGTCACGTGGCTGAATGTTTACGTTTGGCAGGCAGCCTTTCAGTTACGATCGTTAACTAACATCAGTGGGCCACAGCAAATGATGGTGAGAAGCTAAACTATCTATTAATGATGTCAATGACAGGGAGTGTGATTGTTGAAATAGGGTTTTAGCGGTCTTGCTGTTCAAAGAAGAATCTCAACACTGTAGATCACCACGGTATGGTTTATTTTTTATTCACAGGCAGGCAAGTCAACGTTGTCGCAGTAAAAGTCCCAAGATAGCTCCTGGTGCAATAAAATGTTCCCTTTCAGTGTTTCACTATTATGTCTGATGTTTCTCTATTAATATTGCTGCTGCATTAATGTGTATGTTGCATCATGTTACTGCTGTAGATGTGTTCTGAGACTGCCAAGGCACACGNATGTGTATGTTGCATGTTACTGCTGTAGATGTGTTTCCGAGCCGCTCCGATTACAACGAGAGTTACAACGAGAATGCAACGTCATATTTACACAAGACGGATCCTTTCTAGCCATAACCCTTCTGCTGTCCCATTAGTGTTTACTTCCTGTCTGTCTTCTTCTGCTGTTCCCTTCAGTGTTTACTTCCTGTCTGTCTTCTTCTGTTGTTCCCTTTAGTGTTTACTTCCTGTCTGTCTTCTTCTGTTGTTCCCTTTAGTGTTTAGTCTTCTTCATTTATTTTATTACACATTTCCCAATAGTTATTGTGGTTTGATGACCCTAATTACCTTTAAGCTTATGTTGTGCATTCATTTTCACATTAACTTATTTTAGTGCTAAATTACTCCTTAATCTTGCTTTAGGACCTGCATCCACCACTTTATTATTTAGTGAAAAATAATCAGTGTAATAAGGTGGGTCTTCTGGGAATAAGTCTGAAAACACATTTGTGAGTTGTAACAGAAGCCTTACAAAACATTTACTTATAAATGTGACCTCTCTGTGTAGAGTTCACATCTTATTAAAATTTCAATCATATTTAATGGTAATTAATGCTAATATAGTATTTAATGGAACAAATACTACAGGCAGAGGTTCTAATTAAACACTGCAGGCCCTGTGTGTGTGTGTGTGTGTGTGTGTGTGTGTGTGTGTGTGTGTGTGTGCGTGCGTGCGTGCGTGCGTGCGTGGCCTAGCATTACTATACTTGTCAAGTATAGTAATGCTAGGCCACGCACGCACGCACGCACGCACGCACACACACACACACACACACACACACACACACACACACACACACACAGGGCCTGNATTTAGGTCCCCACAAGTATAGTAATGCTAGGCCACGCACGCACGTACGCACGCACGCACACGCACACGCACACACACAGGGCCTGCAGTGTTTAATTAGAACCTCTGCCTGTAGTATTTGTTCCATTAAATACTATATTAGCATTAATTACCATTAAATATGATTGGAATTTTCATAAGATGTGAACTCTACACAGAGAGGTCACATTTATAAGTAAATGTTTTGTAAGGCTTCTGTTACAACTCACAAATGTGTNTTTACACAGTCACGTGTGGGGACTCGCCACCCTTATGGGGACAAATTGGAGGTCCCCATAAGGGGAATCATTAATTTTAGGGTAAAGACTTGGTTAGGTTTAGGATTAGGATTAAGGTTAGGATAAGTCTCCAGGAAATGCATGTAAATCAATGTAATGTCCCCTGAAGTGATGTATACGTGTGTGTGTGTGTGTGTGTGTGCGT